TGCTAGTTTTTTTTTTTTTTTTTTTTTAACAAACAACGCCCCGGAAGGGCGGGGGATTGGGCTGGATCCCCAACCTGTGCATAGATCAGGGCCCCAAAAACGGGAGCCCAATAATGTCAACGAACCAGATACAAAGGTCTACATAGTCTGAAAATCAAAACCTAATCCAAAAGAAAAACCAGAGAGAAAAAACCGAAACACCAAAAAGAAACAAAAAACTACAATATAAAGTCGCTCTTCGGGCTAACAGATGCCCGAGATAAATGTCTATACTAATGAAAAAAGAAATCCTATACTAGTGAAAGCGGAACGCTGGGTATCCAAGCTGGTCCATCCGTACAAGAGTGCGAAGGCGGAGTGGAGCAGTGTCTGTCTGCAATGTATGTGTGCCTGGAATGGTGGCGCCAAGGCTGGCCAGGTAATCAGCCGGTCTGTTCCCCTCACGGAAGATGTGCGTGATCCTGTGATGGACTGACTGAAGTAGATCTCTAATGCGCACAAGCGGGTGCTGAATCTGCCACGAGCCCTGATGGCCCGAAGTCAGGAGGGTGGCGACAACCGCAGCATCCAGCTCGATCCATATATGACTAGAGATGTGGGTAGCTATCTGAAGGCCAATCTGTAGTGCCTGAATCTCTGCGTCGTAGCTCGAGGAGGCCTGAATGGACGCGTGAAAGGCGGTGATGAGGGCGCCGCTATGGTCCCGAATCAAGCCTCCTCCTCCGGCAACTCCAGTGTGGCGGTCGAAGGAGCCATCAGTGTTCAGCTTGACCCACGGAGAGTCAGGTCGAAGCCAAACAACAGCTCTGGCCCGAGGAGTCCGAACAGGCGGTGGTGTGGCCACCATGTAGCTAGGTTTAGTTGTGTTTTGTTTTGTTGCTAGGTTAGTTGTCTTTGCTAGTTTAGTTGTTCTTTCTTGCTGCTAGGTTTAGTTGTGTTTTGTTGCTAGGTTAGTTGTCTTTGCTAGTTTAGTTGTTCTTTCTTGCTGCTAGGTTAGTTGTTGCTAGGTTATTTCTTTGTTGCTGCTAGGTTTGTTGTGTTTTGTTGCTAGGTTAGTTGTCTTTGTTGCTCGTTTAGTTGTTCTTTCTTGCTGCTAGGTTAGTTGTGTTTTGTTGCTAGGTTAGTTGTCTGATGCTGCTAAGTTAGTTGTGTTTTTTTTTATAAAAAAATTGTAACCCGTAGGATTTGAACCTGGTACCTCATGGAGGGAAGACAAGCAATGCAACCACTACACCACTCAAGGTTGAGTGTCTTTTATTGCTAGGTTATTTATTTCAATACAACGGGTCAACGCCGGAAGTCAACGGTCAACGCCGAAAGTCAACGGTCAACGCCGGAGTCAACGGTCAACTCCGGAGTCAACGGTCAACTATTTTATTATTTAATTAATGTATATTTTAATTGATTTTGATCTAGACAAAATGAGTGGCTAAGATTGAGTCTCACGTACTCATTTTAAGGAGTGGTCTCATTGGATCCATCCCCTATGTATATATATATATATATATATATATTACTGCTAAATCAAAATAATCATGCATGCATCTCAATTCCACCATTTCAAACTAAATGAATCACATTTTTCACGAAAGCAACAACTCAAACATTCTGATAAGCCATTAAACACATAACAAAAAGCTCTAGCAACCTTGCAAAACACATGGCCGGGCATATTACCGAATTGTCTCAATTTCACCTTTCTATTCTCATACTTAAATAACAATTATAAAGGCCTTCAAACTGANCAACCTCATATGGGATTTTTGACTCATCTAATTTCAAAATGGAAAAAGTTATTTGTACAATTTTTTTATACAATATTGAATGACAACATGATGTGGCATGATGTGGGTGTTTGAGATTGAAATGGCATGATGTGGGTGTTTGAGATTGAAATAAATGTATGGTTGAGATTTGAGTTAATGATATTTTTAACTAAATTGTCAACCAATGTCGTAAACTACAATTATATATGTAGCATTGTCCATTTTTAAACATAATGTGCTCGATTCTTTTGTTACTCAATAAATGTTATGTACAATTAAAAAGTTACGACATAGATTAGTAGATATATTGTGTAACTCAATAATTTTTCGACTGTTTAATAGTTAGAGAATTTTATTTTTTTAACAAATATGCATATATATTTTCATGGTTAAATGTCATTATAAATACAACATACATAATGGCATTTTATAATATATATGTACATTTTTTATAATAAAGTATGTTTGCCTAACGAATCTAGGTGGTGTGTGATTTAAGCAGGTGCACCCAAAGTGCCCTACTCATTTTCAGCATCTCAAATACTCTATTATTCCCTCGATTTCCCCTCTTAGTTCCATTCCCTGCTCCACATCCCAATTGCTTAGAAAACTAAACCAAAAAAAAAAAAAAAAATGCTGACATGCATATCACGTTCGAAGCAAGGGTCATGCGAGGACTCGCCGCCAGCTGATCCCTCCAAACAAGCCCTTAAAACGCTCTCTTCTCAAGTACGAATCACAGAATTCAACATTTTCTGCCCCAATTTTTAGTCCGTCGATTAATTGATCAATTGGCCGTTATATTTACAGATCAAGGACATGGCGCTAAAAGCTTCGGGTGCGTACCGCCACTGCGCGCCGTTCGCGGACCCGGCGGCCGCCAAGGACGCCGCGGCGGCGGAACAGGAGGCGGCTGCGGCGGAGAAGTTCCGGCGGCTGGACAGGCGGACGGGGAGCTCGACGGCGGCGGGGAGGAGAGAGCTGGAGGCGAGGCTGAAAGGGATCTCGAGTGGGGAGGGGACGCCGGCGTCCGCGAGCGGGCGGCGGCTGGAGGCGGTGGTGTTCGTGGAGGAGAGCGAACCCAGGGAGTGGGTCGCTCAGGTCGAGCCTGGCGTCTTAATTACATTTCTGTCCCTGCCACGTGGCGGCAATGATCTCAAGCGGATTCGCTTCAGGTACAGCTCTGTAATCTTATACCCCTGTTTCTATAATTTTTATTTGTTAATTGTGGCTTTGAAGGATTGACGTGACGGCGTTTTAACTTAAAATAAAAATGAAAATAATAAAAAAAACGATGTAATTAGTATTATTCAATTTTTGTTAATAAGTCATTTGATTTTGTTGAGTAGCTCCCTGAATTTTAGGAATAGGTCCAACTAAATTCGGTAAAATATATAGTTGAATATTTTCAAAAAGAAAAAAGATTGTTTTGCAATATATGTCAAAATGTTCACAGGTCATGAGTTAAGTTATTTACAAAAGTAGACCTAATAATATTCCAATATTTTCCATTAAGTATAAAATGAAATTAGGTTTTTGTGTGGGTTGCTTGCAATTCCTTTATTGCATTACCAGAAACGTATATCCGTTGTAATCTAATTATTATTTTTTTACGTTTTGAGTTTGAAGCGAAACTCCGCCAGACAGAATGTAGATTGAGAACTTGAATAAGAAAATACAAAATAAAATTAATTCTTGAAGTGGAGATTATGATTTATTATGATTTATATATTTAGAGCTTGTCAGGTGTTTATTGGACATTGATCTCTCATTTGTGGCCCTCCATGGCATTTCCTTTATCTTAAATTGCTTTACGAACGTTAGGTAAAAAAAAAGATGCATGCTTTGAGAGAAAAATATTAGTAATTAATTAAATTATCTTGCTAACTTTGTTTCACGTTATTTTTTGTATCATATTGTCGATTACAATATACATTCTTTGAAACCTAATACTTGACGTTTTTCTAGCTTAAACAATACTATGGAGTGGTCTTTCCTTTCACCAACTATTTTATTTTATACATTTTGCGCAATACCAAATCGCCCCTTGCGAAGTGAATCAATTATCTATTGAGGACTAAATAAGACCATAAATTTACATAATCGACCGCTTGGCAGTTAGTTCTAATAATTTGTGAATGACGGTTCGGAGCCAATTTCATTTATTTTTGGAGAACTTAGATGATAAGTTAGTTTATAACTTTTAACTAAATTTCGAGTTTATAATTGATAACTTATGATTTATGGTTGAAAACTAGCTTATGATAAAAGTGTTGTAAGATTGGATGATTAGCTGACTGAAATAAAAATTTCAATAGTCTTATTTAAAAAGCTACCAAATGAAACTTATGAGATAAACTCGAGTTTTTTAAAAAAAAACTCTTTCTACCAAACCAATCTTATTTGAATACAAGAATCTTATAAAATAATAAAATAAACTATAAGCTACCGATCAAAAAATAAAATAAAATAAACTATAAGCTAAATCATATGCTTACCAAATACAGCCTAACAATCAGATAACTGAAAGTTGAAAAGTTGAACCAGAATTAGGCAACTTCCGAATCTGGTCTCAATCTGAGTTCGCAACCATGATCAACGGTTACGGGCCAACCCGTTGGTCATGTTTAAAAGGAACTATTACTTACTATAAGAAAAATAATAAACATGTAAAAGAAATTCCGGGATGATTAAATGCAAGTGGATTTAATCATTTAATTAGCTGCAATGCAATCAAGTAGATTTTTCAAAACTCAGCACAAATGTTTGAAGACATAATGCTCGTTCATCATGAAAAGAAAATCAGGCTTTTGAAATATGAGTCCATTGGGTAAAGAAAAAATTTGGTGGGCCGTGCGTGCCTTGATAGGGTCGGAATACCTTTTACTAGTTGTTGTCCTGTCGGGTATGCTGTTAATTGCTTCCGTTTTCAATCTTCATCAATTCACGCCTAATATTATTATGATACTTGTTCTCTTTTTTCTTTTAATGATAATTGTGTCATGTAGTGGGGAACTATGTCTGGTCAATCTGTGTTTGGCATTCAGACAACAAATTCCATATCTAATTCACTTTTGAAATAGAATTGCTGACAAGATGAGCATCCGAATCTCTTCTCAGAACACGGGTTCATTAGAAGCTACCCCTACGGGTAGTGTCTGTTTGGTGTGGATGTAGCATTTTTGATATGCCATCTTATGCAACAGTTACTTGTTTTTGTATATTTATTAATCTTTTTAATTGTTCTTCACTTTTCATCATGTCATAATAAAATTCTTCACTTGTAATTTCATATAAATAAGTATATTTTATTATATCTGTTATGATATTTTGAATTTCTCATCCTATATCAAAATATATTTTTCTTGTGCTCATTTTTTTTTAAATCATTGTCTTACTCTGATACCACTTTTTTCTTACTATTTTAGATTCTTTTTGTTTCATTTATTGTAATTATATATTTGTTTTTAAAATCTTCTTTAAGAGTTAAACCAATCTACAAAAGAGATAGTAGTGCCTTTTTCTTCAAATGTTTTTATTTTATTTTCTATTTTTTCTAATTTTTCAAGAATAAACTTATTAGTATCAGGTTCTTCTTTATGTTCTTCTATATGTTTTTTGATATCTTTATTTTTAAGAAATCTATTAATCTAGTAAAATTATTTCAAACAATACTTTTCTTTTCAGAATATTTGAATTCGCCATCTAATTGAACTCTACAATTAAAAAGAAATTCTTTTAGTTTTTGTGTATCTGAAAAACTTGTTTTTCTTTTTGAGATTTTTTCAGACCTAATCTTATATACTCCTTTCTTTGAAGACATTTATATTATTGTTTTCGGTAGTCCTATTTTATGTAATTTTTTAAATTTTTGTTTATATCTTTGTATGTCATAATCTAGTTGTTTTAATTTTTGTTCATCTTTTTCTATATATTTATATTGTATTAATTTCTCTATTAGGTAATCCACTTCTTTGATTCCCCTTCTATTTAGTTCAACCAATTTAAGACTTATATCTTTCCTATTCACTATTACAAATTCTATATTTTATTATTTAAATTTATTATTAATGAGCTTAACTCATTTACCTGTTTATTTAATTTTTCTATTTCTATATTTCCTTTATATAAACTGCTACTATGAGGTTCTTCAATTTCTAGAATTTTTAATAAATTATTTCCAGTTAGTTTTCCTAAATTTGAAGGATTACTAAATGATCGTTTACTATGTTCTCTTAAGAATTCCTTTTGGATTCTATCAATTTTAATAATAGTACTGGTTTCATTGAATATTTTTTCTGTATATATTCTTTCTTGATTTTGATAATTCATACTTAAACTACTATTACTTAATGCATAAGCTATTCTATAACAAACAACCATAGGTGTATCTCCTAATTCCATTAATGTTTTTTCTTGAAAATTACATATTATTCCTATGCAGTTATTAATTTTCTTAGTTGATAATGGTATAGGAAATTGTAATGATATATTAAATTTAATTACTCGATATCCTAAATCTCCTTCTATCTCTCATAGCTTTCTTGATTCCTTATGCAAGATTCTATTATCTTCAACTTTTATATTTACGGGTGTCTTTGTTCCTTCTCTAAAGGTTGATCGTAGTATTATTTGTATTGTGTTTATATGTATATAACTTATCTTTTTCCTTTCTTCTTTTTTAATTGCTTCTAATATCTTTTCTATTTGATTTATTTCTACTAAGGGTGCTTGAAAATTATAATTTGCTTGTTCTATTCTAATCGATTGTTCTCCATTTATTATTCCGTAATGTATTATATTTTTTCTATTTAATTTTTCAAATATACCATTATTTATTCCTTCTTTCTTTTCTAAATTTAAATTTGCTTTATTCTTTACTTTTGTTACTACCTTCTTGTCTAATAATATATCTGATAAGTAAATTCCTTGTTCTTCTATGTTTTCTATAACATGATATTCGTTTTCCATTTTTTATCTGTGATTATTTTTAGTCTACTTAAACACTTAAAATAGATACTTGTTTTTTAGCTTTCTTTATTAATATCTTAATCCTGGTAATAGAAGAAGTAATGTCATCATGTATTCGAATATAAACTTCTTCGGTTACTGGATGATCCTTAGGTGCAAAAACATAAACTTTAAGTAGGTTAAATAACCTTTGATCATTTTCTTTTAACAGTTTTTTAAATAAAATAATTTGTTTTCCTAATGATTTGAGAAAATTTGCATCTTTATATAATTTTCTATATGGCATATACCAAAAATTATTGATATCCATAGATATCCAAATTTTCAAATAAAATTTTTAAGAGAGAAATAATAAGCTTGGATAAGAACATACCTTCCTTTGTTGGTTAACTTGTTCAAGGACACCCTTTCGTCTTCTTGGCCTATACTCAATCTTTAGCAACGACCTCGACTATCTGGGTTGTGTATTTGTCCCTCCAGAACTTTTTAACCAATGTTGGAACATTTTTCTTTTCCTTGCTTATTATTTCTAAGTGTATTTAATTACTCATGAAGTATGAAACACACATCTTATATTTCATAGAGATGATTACAAGACTCGAGTTTTTCATACAGACTTGAGCTCTGGCTTAGAATGACAAAGTCTCGACCCTTATATAGGCGTAGATCAGGACATGTCCCTGTCTTACGCGTTTTGATTAAGTGATTGTCGTGAAGCGACAAGTCACATCTACTTTATTGAAGATAAGATAAGATGCTGACTATTACATCAACCTACTGCATTATTCCACCTATTGCATTATTGTCTATCTACCTACTACATTATTGCCAACTTGCTTGACAATTACATTTACCTACTGCATTATTCTTCAATAGGCTTGATCTCTTCTTCATGATTTGGGCTGCATATTTCACATACACGATCTTCTGCAAATTCTTCCTTTAACCTGATGCAGACTTCTTGTTTAATTGACTTGGGAATTTCATACTTGATTTTAATGACTCGTTCCATAAATTTGTTTAGTATCTCAACATCTAAAGGCATTGGTGGCCTTGCTTGCAGACTCCATAATAAAACAGACTAGGATGAATAATTAATTCTTCCTTTTACTCTAATGCTTTTTTCGAGTATAATCACATAATTGTTCAAATAATGTGTTAACTCGTCTTCATGCTTTGCTATTCCTAAATCTGGATAATTTCCATTACTAACTCCAACTTGGCATATTTGTATAGCTGGTTGTATAACTTTCCCCTCATCAGAAAAGATAGGAATTGTTGCGAATATTT